TGGGAGTCTAGCTAGGTGTTGGAGAATCTGCCATAGAGATTTCGGTCAGGCTTTACTAGCGTAGCAATCCGCTACAATGCAATCCGGTCAGGCTTTACTAAGGTAGCAATCCGTTACAATTCTCAACCGGTCTGGCTTTACTAAGGTAGCAATCCGCTACAAGTCTTTAACCAAGGCTTTACGAAGGTAGCAATCCGCTACATGTTCGAGACTTTACTAGCGTACCAATCCGCTACACCAGGAATTCATACGCGCGCAAAATGAATGTACTATTAGCCCTTTTTAACTAGAATTTGAGGGAACTAATTCTGTTCATTTTGTTACGATACTTGTGAATATAAAATGTGTACTATGGTTCTGTGACAGCCAGCTCATGCGATTTTGATTAGACTTTCAAATATTTGAAATGGTTATATCAACATCAACCTGAGATATTCCTTCTGATTAAATGCCCAGTGATTTAGCACCTCAAATTGTGTGTTCGCACTAATAAGTAAATTTGATTCGACTTGAAATGTGATAGTCGAAAGTTTCATTTTACATTCGAAGCGAGAAATTGTCATTTGGACGGTAGAGGAGTCGACTTTATTCATTCAGGAGAGAATGGCCCGAATCGTGACCATTTAAGCTGCCTATGCAACCAGCATATGGAATAATAGCGTTGACATTAAGTGGTGGGGGTGGGGAGGGAGATGGGGGGCAGAGCAGGACACTTATTTAGTTCGGTTAAGCAAAGACAGGGGAAAGAAATGCGAGTTTTCATGGCCAAGTCAGTAGCTCACTTAGTGCCAAAAGTTAGAGAAAGCTGTTCAATAAAAAATGAACACGTTTTGCTGACATGGCAATGCTTAGTACCGCGCACCCGGACATATTGTTGGGTGCAGTCGTGTGTGAAGTAGACTTCTCAGCTATTAAGATTCATTAAAGATCTGTTAAATGCATTTGATTACTAATCGTGTGCACTATGTTCAAATTTTCAATGAGCGCTAAACTCCCTCTATGTTTGCTTCTTCTCTGCCATGGAGATAGCTCAACTGGTTACGGGAGCTATTACATACTAGGATATTTTGCACATCTGAACATTCTAATCTGTGCGGGCGTACGAGCAGAGGAGTTCTCAGATAGCTATTAATGCTCATTCAAATGCCAATACGAATTGTGCTTGCTGTGAGCATAGGTTTAATTAACGCTTTACTCACTAAACGCCTGTTTCCTCATTATCATTTATTTATATAAAATGGCAGGCGTTTTGATGGTCATCATTAGCCCTTTAGTTAACTTCAGGCTCCACAAAGAGGAGGAGGAACATCAAAGTGAATAAAAAGTCGAGAAGAGGGGAAGGGAACAGAAGAGTGTTTCAAAGACGAAGGTAGAAAAGGTAGAATAAAGGTGGGGTGAGTACTGTGAAAGTAGTCGACTATGACAAACAGTGGGGTGATGGCAGTTTGAAGTCAGAAGTCAACTGCCCATTAATAGACTTTTTGCCGTATGAGTATACGTTGCCCAGGGTGCACCACGTGAAGGTAAGTCTATCGCACACCCCTCCTCATTATCATTGAGGAAGATTAATGAATTCCAGGAACTTTTCACACTAGAGCACCTTGTCATGGAGCTTACTGAGGAAACGCCAAGGCTTATTTGTGTAGTAATATGATACAGGGAAAAGTAAACTATCCACTCTAACTATTGTGATGTGATAAATTATGGAGGTATCAATTAACTTTAAATAGGGATGGTGCAACACCATTAAGATCCCTAAAATATAGCAAAGCAAATACGGAGAAGAATTCTTTTATTTTCCAATTGTAAGCGCAAAAAAGCTTCCTGACTGATTTGTCAGCTTTCTGTTTCCTAATTGGAGAAATGAAATGTTTCGCTCTATGAGCGTAGTCGAGTTATCTCTCACTTTATCCTTGGTTCTGGATTATTACGGAATAATCGTTTCCTGAGGCCCGTTTAGTGAGAAACTGAACAGTTATTTAAGAGCTCACAATTTCAATCATGCCTAGTGATTGCAGCTAGGTATAGTGACAGTGTAGCTGCCAAAATATTAGCAATGTCAAATAACCGACCTGTGCCTACGATGATGAAATTGACACCACTACAGTCTCAAAATTCTGCCGCCTTTATGGAGATACTTTTTCTGTTATCAAGTAACTTGCGATTGGCAATGCAATGCTTGATTCAAATAGTACACGTGCACTTATTTTGATTCGTTTGAAATCAGCTCAAAATCTTCCAATCCAAGGAGGGCTTTAAAGATCAATATTTCTCGGATCAAGTTTTGCAGTTGACCATTTTCCATATCTCCAATAGTCAAATATATCAAATCCTACCCACGAGCGTTGACGCATTAATTGTACTAACTAATAGTTTTACTTCGCATTCTGACCAAACTCAGAATGTACCTATCCCTTTGGTTAAAAAAGGCACCTTGTTGGTTTCAACTTGAAATATGAACAATCCATAAATAAATGTACCAAAACTCCCTCTGATAACGAGGGGACAATGTCAGTAACTCGAACCTAATTAGTCAGACTAAGCTAACTAGACTGGTTTGTATTGTTTTACGAATTGTTTGATTTTGCACACAATATGATCTATAGCCTGATCCAGAACTGTGATTTTTTGGATTACCATTTAGAGCTGTGAAAATAAACAAACGCCAAATTACTGAGAGGTAAATGTAATGCAACTGCAATTAATGAAGCTTTTGGTGTCAGTCGCAGATAAATTTTTTCCAGGTAAATGAAGGCAAAAAACCTATTAAACAGAGGTCAAAAGTTCATCTAGGTAACGGTTGACGCTGCCAAGAGGATGGTGCCTTTAATTTGAAATGGCATGAAAACGAATATCCCTTTCAGACGCATTGCTAATTAATTATTTAAAAAGGAGTTATTTGAAATTCAAAACATGAGATATGCTTAAAGGTAGACTGAATATAATGCAAACTAGACAGGACTGTCAAGTGCTGTTTATGCTTGCAAAATAAAAGCGCTAGGTGGATAGGCCATAAAAATTTTGCCTTTACCAGTTCATTCTGCGAACTAGGCAAGCTTTAACCATTTACTAAATGAATTCTATCTACTATTTACGATAATCTTTGCGCTTTATGACGAAAAAAAAATTAATTGAAAAATATCCGCATTATGTCAACTGAGTCACTAGTGAAATTAAATAAGCGTGTTCAGAACATCTTGGAAAAATTATCCAAGCTAGATGAGGATAAGCCAACTTTTTTATAACGACTAATCAGCCCCAACAACGGAGGTTTTTGCACCAGTAATCTGACGATAATTAACCTAATCATGTCAATCCTATGGGCTGATCAGTCAACCCATATCACTACTACTTAGAACTGCTAAACTATAGTTTATTGAATAAAAATCACTACTTGAGAGATTAAACATGAACTCCAATTTGCAGATCGACACCCATCCATTTCAAGATTACTAATTATTTCAGTACCACAGTGGCTGTTTTCAAAATTTCTTAAAACCTTGTTACTGTTCACAGCATCTCTACAAGCCCCTTCCCTTTATAATTTGCAGTGCTTATTGAAAAGCTACTTCAAATGCTACTCTCAATTAGAAATTTCACGCTTTTCAAATATTTTGGGTTATAAAAAACATTATTGATACCACCAACGAATTGCCAAAATCCCATTTATTAGGTAGACACGGGGGTCTAGTGAAGCATTCACGAGAGCCGTTCCAAATGAAGCAGCCAGTGTAGATTAAGGGAACAAAAGCGTTTTCAGAAATAGATTAGGAAAGGAATAGAACAAAACAAGCGTTGCTTTCTATGGCATATCAAAGCTAACAGAAACCATCCCAGGAGAAATACTACAATTACTAGAAGACGTCTAGGGAACTAACAATCAATCAATAATAGCTTGATTGAAGTAATCAGAATATGGTAATTCAAAACTGACAGAAATACCTCCGCAATATTTGTACACACGAATATAAAAGTAGTATAAAAAACTTCTGTCTAAACCAGTTCATTAGCCAAACGAGAAAGATAATATCTTAAAAAAATCAGAAATTGAGTAGAACAGAAAAAAATACAATTAATAATTACAATTAGCAGCTGACTTACTATTAACACTAAGTTAACACGCGCCCATTTATTAAGTAATCTAAGAGAAAAAATTTCATGAACACTCAATGATGAAATCAGTAGTAGTTTTGCATCTTTAGCGACCAATAAAAGACGTTGATTTCTCTACATTCACAAAATAGACTACGAACTCCATAATCAGAGCCACACATCGATCTGATAAATCTGAAATTCCAACAATATTAAGAAAATGTGGGATTCGTGTGCATTTAGGAATGAAAAAATAACCTGTTAAAGGAGTTTCCTGTCAGCTAGTTTTTCTGCAATGCATATTAGGAGACAAAGCCGTTCTAATAAATCATGGAAATCCACAGAATAATCGCGAAAGGAGTGTGAAATAGAGGGGAGGACGGGGGGGGGGGGAGGAATGAGTTTTCACACAGCCGAGAGGAGTGGAAATCCAAGACCACCAGCTGACAAACCCAAGAAAAGCGCCTAGTCAGGATGACTAATCAGAAAGTCGAAAATGTGCCTACGACCTCTTTCTTTCTTAGTGAATCAGCCACTACAACAAGACACAATTAATGCATACCGGGGAACATTAACATGTTTCGCAGCGAGGCCAAGCGTTCACATAAAATGGACCAAAAACAGAAATGCAATTTAAATAATAAAAATAACTGAATGAGCAGCATTAATGACGTACTCCTGCGCTCACTGATGCACAAAAAGTATGAGAAACAATTTTAACCAAAGCATATTTTGGGTAATTAGCATAATGGCCAACAAAAATTTTTACACATAGCGAACATGCTCAGTAGTAGTAGTGGAGTATATATGTACAGAATGATAATAGTACGCACGCACACACACACACACACACACACACACACACATAGACAAAATTAAATTGCTAAATCGAACTATCGGATCAAGTGCTAGTTGATATTGGATGCTGACTCAACGGAAGGTGCTGTGGAATCACTGGTATTATCTTCTTCTGCACCATCTGGACTGTTCTCCCGATGATTGCTATTACTCTCAGATTCCCGAACACTTCCCGACTGTCGTGCCTCTCTGGCTGTGGAACGTGAAGATGAAGTATTAGAGAAGTTGTATGAAACGGCGCTTGCGTACTTCTTCGTCCACATTTTTGCGATCCTATCATGCTCCGATCGATTATTCATGTATTGACTGGCAATAGAACCAACAAGAGGGTCGGAAGGGTTACAATCCGTTAAAAGAGAGCAGATTGAAAGTAATAATTTGCTAACTGTCAACGCTGGCGACCAGTTATCCTAAAATGATCGAAATTTAACCTGAATAACGCTAACATCCAAGCCGCACCAAAATTTATATGAGTAAACATAAAAAATGACAAAGCGAAGTTCTGGTTGCATTTACCTTTAAAATATCCAAGCAGATAAGTCCATGACTGTTAATATTGCAATGATAAATGCGAGTTTTGAAAGTGACTTTAGGGGGTTTGAAAGGATAGTCCAGGGGAAAGTGAATATCAAGATAAAATATTCCACCCTCATAGACAGAACCAGGAGGGCCGAGAATAGTTGAAACCCACTCATATAGGTTGTCTCCTCGGGGAAATGCTCTAAACAAAATCATGATTTAAACCAGATCAATGAACAGTTACGAGCAATTTGGTGGAGGGTCATTACTGATTTCACTCAACTCCTTCTGGATTCTAAAGTAAAAGAAGGCAAAATTAAGGTATTCATTTTTCGAAGGAAAAGAATGCTATAACAAAGACTGAGAATATGTTCCACTCCCAACTTGTGCAACGTTAATGCTACCGAACGATAAGAAAATGTCGAAGTAATTACTTTTGAGAATATATTTATGGAACTAAGATGTTAAGAAGCGCAAAAAACACAGATATACAAACTTGAACGAGTTTAAGTTTCGTCAATCATATAGACAGACATTATTAATCTTACAAAAATTAATAAATTACAGAAAAAATTAAATAAACGATTATACAAATTGAGCGAAAAATTCGATCCCTAAAATTGGAGGAGATTAAATATTTAGATTTATAAATGTGTCACCTTTTCAAGCTTGTAGTCATTGATTTGTTTTTGAGTACAGCGGCAGCGGAAGACTTCTGTGAAACCTCACTGTTGGATGAGGAGCTATCCGTAATATCACCAAAAGCCTGATTATGAGATCGTTTAGCAGCAGGCCTAGAATTTTGCTGTCGAGACATTGTACATGCGAGCCCCCCTCGGGAAGCGGATTGACAAACAAACACCGAAGGCAAAGGACTGAACTCCAACTTAAAAATATAGCCCACTCAAACAAGTAAAAAAAGTCAATTCAAAATTTAGTCATTTTGAATGATTTTAATGCTTAACTACTATCCTAATTAAATCCATTATTCAAAATCTGGCATTGATATTCAAATTAATTAATTATTCTCATTGACCGTGTTATTTGGAGATTTCTATTCATAATTGCACATAGTGCCTAATAAAAGGCGGTGAAATAAATTAAACTATTTCTGCAAAGATTTGAAATCGGTGTTTTCCTACCCACAATGTTCAACAGGTCAGAGTTCAAATGAGTGTTTATGATTAGTTCAGTAATGACTATTATATAATAGCTAAAGCCCCAATATCTAACATCTAACTTTTTCTTCTGTATTCGAATTTATTAGTAATTTCCTTTCTAAAACCTAGGTAAATTGATAAGATGCTTTTTGATATTCGTCAAGAAGATAGGGACAGCTTAATAAAGTTGCCGTGGGAAGTAACTCGATTTCTGTTAATGAGCATCCCGTTTCTTTAGTTTACAATGTCAGGTGTATTTTTTTAAGAATTGGTCAAACTATAAATTATTGAGCATCAACAGATACAACGCAATTTACTTACAGCTATTTCAATTATCGATAGCTTAATTGCAAAGCGAAATTTAGGACGAATCATTTCATTTCATAAATTTCTTTTGCAAAACGTCCAGTGTTAAACATTTGATTTCACTCTAATGTAGTAGTTGGGAAGATTTGAGCAATGTATCTTCTGCGTAAAATTCAGATATTTCTGTTCTAATTTTTCCGGAAAGACAAGACTATCAGTGATATGGCAAAGGAATATCATTATGGGCTCGTCTACTTCTGACTTCGTTCGCGTAAGAAAATGCGCTGATTGCCCAACTTCTTTTTAAAAGACAAAGCATGCAAATCTTATATTAACCATTTGTGTAGTGAGCAACGCTGCCTCATTCAGCTCTATTCCACTAGAACAGTTCATTACCCTCCCGATTGCTTTCTAACTTTTTAAAGCATTCTAGGATAGTCATGAACACCGTCATGTTAGCAGTGAGATCAATTAATTAGAAAGAAGGCAACTCTAGATCAAATCAATACTTTAATACCACTCAGCTATGCAGCAAAGAATAGTTATCTAAAATATCATTTAAAATTCGAAATATTTTTACTCGTTTGTAGATTTGATTTAATTTTAACCAATCTGTTCAATAAGTTGCTTTAAAGCTCTAACTTTTAGGCATGGAAACCAGCAACACTTCAGTTAACAAACTTGAAAACTTCAACACGAAGGGTTGTTTCACGTGAAACAACAAAATCCGTATATTTTACATTCTTAATGATAGGGAATAAGAGAAAAAATAGGATATTGATACATGAAATAGATGGGAATAGAATGTGTAAAATAGCATTGAATGGTTAGGAGACTGTTTACATCAACCCGAAAAGTTCCATATGCACACAAGATTATTATCCGTTACGGCAACCAAGTATTTGCCATCTGAGCTAATGTCAGTGGAGTTGACGACAGGATTTTTGAAGCCCGAGTTGATGGTATCCTTCATTTGCGGATCTTCCTCACGGGTTCCACCTACACTGCATTCTGGCCATTCGAGGATCTGTAAGAAGAGGAAAGGGTATTAGAGTCTCCTACTCTATCTATTCTCTACCACTATGACATACCTATCCTATTCAGACCCAGAGGGATAGACCAAAAGTGTAATTATACCCAAGATGCGATCGCTTTTACGGGACCAGTTATAAGTAGAATATAACAAATGACTGGACTGATGGGGAGGGGGGGGGGGGGCAATCCAAACTAGCGATCTAGATATTTGTCCCAGAAAACATATTGATTAAGCTGATTAGGGATATTAATTGCTCATCCAATGACAATCGATATACTCTGCGACATTGTTACGTTAGCTATGTCCGGAAAAAGAGAAAGGATTTAGAGAGAGATGTCTGTATCTAAAAGAAATCATGACTTGTGAATTTCTATGACTACAAATACTGCACTTCTGGACCTAGTCAGAACTCGAGACGGATCAATTCGGAGCATCTATAGCCCCATCCCGTTTTCTTTACCCATAACCTGGTTTTATAAGCTACCGAGTAAGTCACTGCATTAATTTATTAATTATCCACGTAAATATAACATACCTTATTAGGTTTGACGTTGAACTTCTGATTGGTACCCTCATTGACAACGCGCTGTTGAAGATCATAGAGCCAGATTGTGCCCTCATTGTCACCACAGACGACGGCACCGAGACCCGGACGAGCAGTGACGTTGATGTAAATTTCATCTGTTGTCTGCCATCGTATTCTGCCCAACACTTCGGCAGTTACTATCTTCTTGGCCGCTGCAGACCCCTTGCGGTTCAAAAGGAGCTTAAAATCAAACACAAAAAATGGAATTATATTCACTTGCTTTAGTTGCACATACAACTCTGTAAAAATTCAGCTTTAAGGAAAATGAAAAGGTATACGAGACCGCATTATGAAAGACAAATCAATCTAACAAAAATGCGGAAAAAACGATTCGAACTCATCAAAAAAATCAGTTGCTGATCACAACAACTATTCACTCATAACTATAATAGGATAGTTATGAATCGATATAACGGGACAGACCACAGAATTGAACAAAATTTGAATACCATAAATGAAACTGAGGGTCAAGCCAACTGAATTACAAAGCGAGCTAAACTCCTTATGCGTAATTCAATGATTCCATACTTCAAAAAATAGTAAGAATCTTTGTGGCTCGATGCCTTTCCTTGTCAACCTTCGAAATAAAGTGAATCATGATTTTTCAGGACTACACTGGCATGGAAACAATGACACAGAGAAGAGCTAATACCGATCAATAACTATTAATCTTGACAGCATTCAAAAGTTAGAATGTGGTTATAGAAATACACTTCTTGATTGCCAATCCCTTTCCAAATTAATAATTTTAAATGCTCTCTCTTAGAGAGGCATTAATCCGCTCACAACACAGAGAGACACTTGTATTTAACTTACTTGGCCAAAGTCAATAACGTATATTTCTCCCTCTTCCACACACTTCACAATAATAAGATTTTCTGACAATCGAGCCAGACCATCAAAGCAGGGCTCACGGTTGGTAGGGATCTTAATTTCCATTGTCGGTGGTCTACAGACAAAAGTAAAATAAAACTTTTAAAGTATACAACAAGGGAACACACACACACACATCGAATTGAAATATGACATCACCGCACTCACCTCTCCTCAACAAAACGCTGCTTCCTGAAGTCTGAGACGGTCCACGCGAAAACGCCGTCTTCACAACCAGCTAGCAGGGTGTCATAGTTTGGCATGAAGATTAGATTAAGCACCGGATTTAGGTTGGGTCGTGGACACACAAGTCGCATCAGTAGATGATGGCGTGTTCTATAATCAGGTGCAGATGGGACACCAATATCCCAAACACAGACACAAGCCTGAAATGTGGAATTGATCAGAGTTAGGCGAGACTACCAGAGCTAGTAAAATACTCTTAACAGCACTACATACCTTTGAGTCACCAGAAAAGAGAACTGTAGGTTTTGAGGGATGGAATACCATGCAAGCAATCTCCTCCCTATGACCTTTCAACTCCGCATAGCATACCAATCTCTCGGGATGTAAAAGTCGAATCTCCTTCAGTTTTCCTGCTGCTGCAAGAAGGTTGGTCTTGTGTCCAGAGGCCATTTCAACTGTTGTCCATGCGACTGAGTAGAACTCCTTTAGAAGAAAATTATAGATCAAATATCAAATCATAGGATCACAATGAGTTCAGAGAAGTTGACGCGATTCATGACGAAAGCTGGAATATCCACAAAATTGGTGTGGGTTACAGCTAAGAAACAAGCCCAGAACCGGTAAACAACTAATCTCATATGTACACAGAGTTCAGGAGTGCCTGAATGCGTATCACAGATTAGCACAAGACTGTCAAATTCAAATGTCACTTAAAATGTTTTTAGAGTACTGCAGATCAATAACTATTTTAGCCACCAAGTACTAACAGAAAAACGGAGAAAATGATGCCTAAAATAATCTTGTTTGTTAAAAGACTGTTTTAACCCTAGCACAAATTAAATATTTGACTTACCTCTCCAACATGTTTGAATCTCTTAAGGACCTTTCCAGTTTGACAGTCAATAAGACAAACACATTCTCCACCACAAGTTGCCACGATAGACGTAGTCTTTTTCGGATCATTCGGATCTGGTTCAATAGCACATCTCCACACCTTGGTTGAACAGTCCAGTGGGTCATTATCACGGGCGTGACAACGAATAAAGTGGAGAGGATCATAGTCAACAATCTAGAGATGAGAAAAAAAGGTTTATCAAATAAGAAAGAAACAAAATTAAGTCGACTTACACGGCCAAGTTGAACAAGGCTTGGAACAGGAGGAACACTGTCCGCCTTGATAGAAGCCTCAATAATTTTACGAACAGTTGCTTCATCTTCCAAATCCGTTTCACTTTGAATGGTATCTTCCACTATGCCAGCAGTAATAGTAGTAGAAGCAGTATGAGAAATGAGAGGTTTAGGCTTAGGTTTACGGCCACGTCTGCCTGGAGTTGGATGGATGGGTGTTGTTAATTCCGACCGCAGAACATGTTCTGACTCATCACTTGTCTCTGCAGAAAAACAATATTTAAGTAGAAATTTCCTACAATATTACGGCAATGTTTGGGGTATTATTGGTGTACAGGTAAGTAGCCCCCCCCCCCCCCCCCCCAAAGCCTGGGCTGTCTTCGAACGTACGATACAGTCATGGTTGCCCAAAGAAAAGAACTATTTCACTCCTTCATGGTACTCTATTAAATGCAAATTGATGAATGTCTACAAGAACTCCTACAACATTACCAACATTCTAAATAGGTTGAAGGTTAAGTTAAAAAGTTAAAAACAAAGTGCTATAAATTATTTTTTCCTATACAACATGATTACTCTTTCCATTACAGCAGAATTCCCCATCTTACTATGTAAATTATTGCCTAATCTACGTGTTTAAACATCTCTAGATAATAATAATGAATCCAACTAACCTTCGCTCCTTCTTTGTCTCTTCGTGGGATGGAGGGAGGCCTCAAAGTCATCATCCTTTGATGTCTTGGAGGAGAAAATGCCCTCGACTTCCTCATCCTCTTGGGCAATAGCAGCAAACATGAGAGCTTCCTCTTGGCCAGCCAAAGCGGCCGCTGTGTCGATCGCACCGTAGGCGGAGAAGCGTTTCATACGGTTGGAGTCACGAGTAGACATACGCAGGGTGGCTGGAGGAGGCGCATGTGGAGGAGGGATCTTGACATTTTGCAGCAACTCGGCAGTCTCCTTTTCCTCCTTCTGCGCCTGAGCTCTACATACAATAATGGCGCCAATAAAGCATATTAACAAAAAAAGACAGAGAACGATGGTCTTTAAGAGAAAGGAAACGACTCCATGATATTATAACGACCAGTGTTCGTACTTCCTAACTCAGGTTCATATCATACTGATTTATGTTCGGGCAAATTGCAAAATCGAAGGATTGAGGAGTCACTAGATCAATATACCCACTAAGCAAGTAAGTTCCAACTCGAAAAAAAACAGTCAACTCTTGATGTTCTGACAAACATCTCTCCAACTCCCTTATTTTATCACATATAGGCCCGGCACAACATAAAATGTTTAAACATAATTTTGCCGCAGTCTTTTTCTTGCTTTATAAGAAAGTGACTACGCATGACTAAGAGTTGAAAAGCTCACAGAATTATTTATAATTCAACTGGTTAAAAAGTTAATAATAAGTGCCATTTGTAAATTCGGATACAGGTTTGCATAAGGCATACGAATTCTTCGACATTTCCACGATATTAGTTTCCGGTAATGTCATAAGATGGGCTCTTTCTCTGAGCATATTTATAAATGGTACACTACGATTAGGCTTATAAACAGTCCCATTTATTTAGCCTAAAATCGACCTTCCAAGTAAAATCTTGACGATTCAAAAAAGCATGTGTGATATTTGAGATTGCAAAAAATTTTCCAAAATACTAGATTTTCGGATTATGAATAGTGCCAAACACACAACAAGCCAACTAACAACTCGTTCCATAAGATAAAATTACTGGAAACGAAGTGAGGCAAATCAAATGAACTAAATAAAAAGCGTTAAGTAATTATGAAAAATTACCTCTTTTGAGAGAACGAAGCCGGTGGTCGACCACGCTTTCCAGGTTGCCACTGCCCAGGTTGTTTGACCGGTTTCGGGGTAACCACTTGATCAGCATGATCATCCAAGTCGCCATAATTCGAGTAGATATGCGAGGAGATAGCGCTAGCCAAAGCATACTCTTCTTCATGTTTACGCGAAGCAACAGTCGCAGTGCGCTGTTTAATTAATCCTGATGAAGCCCGACCAGCATTGGCCATCAGGAGACCAGCACGTCGTTGTCCCAAGACTGCTGCACCTGTGGGCACTGCTCGGGTACCACCAACAGGTAGACGTCGCTGTCCCGCCTGCTTGGTTGTTCCCATGGTGCCTGGAGCGTTATTTTCATTGTCACTTTGTTCGTAACCGTCTAAGAAAAGTGAAAACAAAAACTAGAAATGGATGTGCCAAAAATGAAATGTCACTGTATAATCCTCATTTACTATTGATCAAGTTCCTGCAGTGAAATACAAGTGCTCCTCATTTCGTTCGCGCAGTATCTCCTTTGGATAAATAATTTGCTTCTGCAAACTTTCACTCCCTTTAAATGTAAGGGAACCAAAGTACACCTCTCACCGCTTGTGAAATATCTGTCAACTTTGTCTTTCCAATAGGCCATATTCAGAATTTTGGAACTGAGAGAACAGGAATAGGTGCGTAAACATTTACAAATCTAGACACCACAGACAGCAAAAACAGAAGTAATACTCTAGGCGTATGCAATATAAATTAACGGAAATTGAACACAATTGGACTTGCAAGCTTATCTACCCACCTTAATTTCAAAAACTTTTCTACTCGCAGCTTTAGAACATGAGATATAGATCTACTGGAGCAAGATATTATTCTAGAACTAGTGGCTTCCACTTTTTAGATCTAGTTGATATATCAGAAAAATAAGCTTATTAACAATCTAAAATTCACTCATTAATAATAAATGTAATTTCCAGATATTCTGAATCATAGAAAAAAAGCAAGTCAGATAGAGATAAAAGTATTAACCTTCACCACGGGATTCAAATCCGTTAGCCATACTGCCACCAACGACAGGAATAATCAGGTCCCCATTAGGTTGACGAGCAGCTGAGCGAATGACCGAGTAGACAACAGTTTTCCCATGTTGCATAGCAGTTCCAATAACACCTGCTAGTCTATCCAACGGTTCGTCAGGGAGAAGAGCCATGTTGTTTGCAGCTGCCACTGCCTCTCTTTCTGCCTCTGGATCTTTTCTTTCATCCTTCTTCTTGTCAGTAGTGGTTGAAGTTGTATTGTGAGTTTTGTCACCAGTATCTCCTTCAGCAGTCATGGCCGAAGCTGTACTCTCTTCTGTGGATGTGGTATGTTGGGCTTTCTGCTCTGAAGATTCAGCTGTTGCACCTGCTGACTGAGTAGCTCCAGTTGACATTGATGTCGCTTCAGTAGAGGTAGTTACTGCAGATACGGTAGTTGTTGCAGCAGGGGCTGTGGATGCTGGTTCTTCAGCATGAGGTTCAGAAGGTTCAGGAGAAGGGTTTTCCTCGTCATCTTCATCATCAACCACTTTGGGTGCAAGAAATTCTTCGGCTATTTGACGTGCCTATGGGAGAGATTAGAAATGAAAAAATCAATAATTATTCACTACCCAAAACGACTTAGTTGAAAAAACTAATATTCTCTCCAATTGATAAATACATTATTTCTACAAACTTGAAATGGTTATAATCGTAATAAAATGTCTCCCAGATAAGTACTAAAGATTCCTTAGAAAAAAGTAGATTAAAGATATCTCTGAATGTTGACTGGAAAATCTAACTAGTTGTATTTAATAGTCGACCAAAATTAGCTTAATTAAATTCTTAAAATTTAAAACCCCCCATTTTCGTGATAGTATGCCAATACACAAAATAGTTAAGGAAATAGATCATTTGAATTCGATAAGAATTCCTTAATTTAAAATATAGAATGACAAACATCCAACAGTCGATCGAGTAAGCCAAAAAATACAATTTAGAAACACTTAGCAGAACGCAATAAAATCAATCTCTCCGTAGGGTTGCAATTAGATTTTACGTTCATAAAATGCCGAAGATACAACTACTTTAAAATGCAAACAAAGCCATTACAACCACCGATAAGTGTAAGTTTCCTTCGAGAGCTTCGAATGCACTGAAAGATAAATGTGATTTAATCAAAAAGGAGGACTCACCAAGACGGCTTTGCAGTGCTTAAAGGGCTCATCCACACTAGCACACTGATTAACAGCATGAGCAACGAGAGTCTCAGTGACCAAGATAAGGTCACGATGGGGTACACTCTTCTTAAAGTACTCCACTAAATCGTCCTCCCATTTTGAATGGACCTGAAAGTTGAAATTGGCAAGATAGACGCGCATAAATATGGATGGAAATTAGGGATTTAAACACGCATGAAGATAAACATACCAATCCAGCCAGTTCCTGTTTAGCAGCTTGTGCTATTTTGGAAGTCTCTTCTGTAACTTCAACATTAAACTCCTCTCCATTGATAGATTTCAAATTCGGGCAAAGGTAGGCCAGGGCTTGAGGTCGCAACACCTAAAGGAGAAAAGAAAGTCACCAGAGATAAGCTCGAGAAGGGGGGGGGGAGGTGGGACTTGATATTATACCATATTAATGCACTGCTATATACAGAGGTTGGAATAAATGCAATAGAAGCCCTGAGAGTTAAAATAGGATTTAATGCAAATCTACAAATTATTTCCCATAGGTAAGAGGAATTAGAAGATAACTTTCACTTTGTGAAGTAATAAAATTGGTTAAAATGCCCGATGTTTCGCCAGTTTATTATTCTGAAACAGATTCAGACTGATGCAATAAAATTTCGAACAGGGGATTTTAATTAAAAATTATTTTCTAAGAAACTGGGAAATAATAGTTACTTCAAAAGCAATTAAGCAAAGATTTCATATCCATGGGGATAAAAGCAATACTTAAGGCATGCAAAACAGCAAAACGACCGCTCACTTCCTTTATTAAAAAAGACGAGAAATTGTCACGTCAACCCCCCC